AGGTTTGAAACTTTGTCAATGTGATAGATTACACTTCCCCCAGTTGTTTCATCAGCTTGTTATTATTTTAGCTTACTTCAGTGGGAAGCAGAATGAGCTCTAGTTCAAAGGAGCACGTCATGGTCGAACCTTTTAGTGGATATACGGAATCAACAACATACAGCTGTGCTGTCACATGCTCGAAGTTGATCCAACGGCTGCCCTTGATTGCTTCACCGATGCCACATATGAGTATCGGAATCCATCGATTTAAGGTCATGGAGGTCATGGTTTTGTCCCTTCGAGCATCATACATGACACTTTCTTTTGCAGTCAGCATCCCTTGCTAAAGAGCCTCAATGGTTCCTTTAAAAAAGTGCCACATGTCCAAATTGCATTCCAGGCGTGTGTCTAGTGGCGCTACGAGTCATTCTTTCTTTTCATTGGATAGAAGCGAAAAGCAGCCGAATAAATGTTTGCGCACATTTGTTATTTGCGAACTACTGCAGATTACCCCCTTTGGACAAGGAGGCGGATCTGTAGTCATCACATCGATCGAGTCGTGATGACTTCAAATCCTCCAAATTTCTTATCATATTCTTCGGGACAAGATAGAGCGAGGGAATGAACCATGTAACAAGGACACTTTGTACAAGAAGACCTCTGACACGTGTTGGCTCTGAAGTCCTTGATATTTCGGTTCTAAATCCACATTATAGAATCTGGATAGAATCTATCTATAATCATGGTCCTCGTCTGGAAAGATCGGCTGTTGAGTAGACTACTCAATGGCAAAGCCTGGAGTTGGGAAATAGTGATGCATGGAAGGCGAATAGCTCCAAACATGAGGAATTGTACGCTGTTTCTTCTTCCATATCAATGGAGATTTTGTAGACTGGAGAAATGAGTGGTTCTCCTCGTTTGATCTCATTCTTTGCTTTTGGCATACGATGCAACTGTGTGGGCACTCTGACCTGGAAGATGTGAATATCGTACGATGTCTGCATTTTACAGATGACGTAAGTTCTTGCAAGAAGTAAGTACTTTCACCTCGCGTGAAAATACTTTTCTTAAACAAGTTCGAATAGCTGTAAATGAAAGTTCTTTAAATAATGTTTTAATCTCTAAGGTAAAAAACTCGTCTGCTTTCTCTCTATTCTTTCGCTTTCATTGCCGTCATGTGTTAGAGAATCGTCTTTTGGCTTATTTAGAGCTCGGATGATGTATTTGATGGAGTTACCCGACGGTATCGTTCCAATAAACCTACTTTGATCTATATGGTTAGATTTATTCGAAACTTAAATACTATCAATATGAGAATCTTGTAGTTTCCACTTGGATGGTTGTGAAACGAACTCTACCCCAAATTATGATAGTTATGATTTTATGCTTTGAAAGAAGTATTCTCCTTCACTTGATGCAATCTCTTCGGATGCAGCTGTGGGAGATAAATCGATAGATATTGCTCAGCGGCATTACTTTGTCGAATTCTGGCCACTTCTAGTTCTGTTCGGCTACCCAAGTCCTTATATAGGATTAGCATCTTTCACTTGTTGCTCGCAGTAAAAGGGACTGACAACAAAATGAGTGTTCGAGTGTGTTCGAAAGAGGAGACGTGACCAAAGCTCTACCGCACAAGAGCAAGGATAAAGCACCAAACAAAACGCAAAATAACATTGTATAAGACTGGAAATTGGAGGAAATTGGAGGAATAAGGATAATTGCTTTGCCATTGCTTTCTTAGAAAGAACCACATCGTCTGAATCAAAAGTGATACATGTTGGAAAACCCACTCACTTTCAACGTTTGAGGTAATTGGGGGCTAGATCTACCTCCTGTTACTAGTTTTGACATGTCCTAGTCACTTCATCTCTTACAGCCACAATGCACTTATCGAACTCTTGCTCCTTACCTCATTGGATTAAAGGCTATGAAAGCATCCCTGGGTAATGTCACCGCGGATACTTTGACAAACAAGTCATCTTATCATAAAGTCACCTACACAATCACATTACTATCGCTTTTCCTTCTAACGCATCAACAAACACTTACCAACATGTAAAAAAGAAGTTTGACGCAGCTTCTTCAGATCTATTACCTCTGACCCTACAACTCTAGTTTATCTTTTTTTCGCCATTCGATCGCCCTACCCTACATTTCTCTGCTAAATTCAGATCCGGACGATAAGCTATTGGTTCAGTGCATACTTTGGCAATCGAAAGAAAGAACCACAGACCACATATTGGGAGATCGCTCTTCTACCCGCCCAAGACTACTGCTGACAGTTCCAAAACTTCACACTAAAGTGAAGGACTTCCTGAACTCTCGCGGTGGTAAATATAAAAAGTGTTGTTTACTTCTAGTATCTCAAGCGAACACCGAAGACGTCTTGTTTTGATGGCACTCAATTCCAGTATTACTCTGGTCACCACAACTGACCAGATAAATTCATGTATTACTTCTGGCATCCTCTCTCACTCCGTCTAATTCATTTCGTGATCATCATATCTAAGCCATCGTGCTCTTCGCCTGATGAAACACAAACCAAGTCGGTCTACAAATAATTTGTTAATCCAAGTTACGTCACATAAAAATATTAATTTTCTTACGAGCTCCATTTAATCATTCCAAAGTGATGAGAAGGCATGTGAAAAGAACCAACTTGTACTCTGACTAACAAAGGGTTTAAGACGAGGTCTCATATAGAAATGCTGAGTGCTGAACATGACAGCAAGAGCTTAACTGTACATCTTTTGACTCCGTGCAGCAGAGCTGTAGGCGGAAGATACAAGATCTCCTTTCTGATTGGTGCACTTTGAAATCAGTAACAATATTTCATCCGTCCCGTACGTCCGTCCTCGTCAATGGCCTTGGTCATAGGTAGACGCACAGTACAGTATGAGGACCTGCTGTAGCTCACGCAGACCCAAATCGAGAATGTCTGCAACAAACTCGTTCATAATGATGAACAAGACGCTGGTGAAAGAGTGCGGAATCCACCGACTGGAACAGACAGACATGGGAAAAGACGTGCGACCCATGCCTACTAATTTGGAGGTATATCCAAAAATGCATACACAAATATATTAACGGTTCTACTCCTTCAAACCTGGGCTAGCCCCACGTTACCCTTTCGGTTTCATCCATGGATGGGAAAGGATGGCAAGAATCAAAGTAAGGGGCGAACCCCATCCTCTTAGATATATTATTCGGTGCCCCTGAGAGGATAATTTTAACTTCAAAACTCGCTCGGAATCTCTAAACAAGGTTTCTTCACCACAACCCTGTGATAGGAGGAGGAACCCTATCCTTTTCGATATATTATATGGCGCCCCTTGAGAGAAGATAATTATATTTCAAACCTTACTCGGAATCTCTGAATCAGGTTGGTTCACTTCGACCTTCGATATAGGCATTCCTTCAATCGACTTCATTGACTGAGAGGTAGTAGAGCTTGCTTCTCACAAGGGACAGAGACAGACGAAATATGTTACGGTACGTAGACTAACTGTCGAAAACAATGGCTAAGCAAGGGAGAGAAAGTGAATAAGTGCGTATCACTTCGACCAATAGATGGAGGGAATGTCCGCAGAAGGGAGAGGAAATCTGGAGAACAGACAAAAAGATCACAGCATGTTGATGAAAAGAGGGATTTTCCCCATGTACAGTGGTCGTGTTCGGACAGGGATTGAGGGGAAGGAGAGGGAAGCTTCGTGTGAGCTTCGCGAGGACTTTGGGAAGGAGGAGGAAGCTGCCTTCGAGCTTCCTTCGAGTGATCTTTTGTTGTTGGAACATCGAAAGGAATGATTTGCAGATGGTTCAGGCGGCACGATCCCATGTCATAACGACCGAACACCAACAAAAGAGCCCCACAGAGAACAATGCCAGGTCTGATCTTTTCCCGGACATGTTAGTTACTTGTCTGCTTATCCAATTCTCTCGGCACCTTCGCGGAAGCTCTCTTGTTTCTCTGTTGCCCGCATGTGAGTGTTGTGCCATTTAAGTCTCTCGCTTCCTCCCTTGTCCTAGTGAAATCTGACCATAGTTTCAGTTCAAATCACACCCTATATCATGGGTACCGGTTACTCTCGGTCTACCGTTATGTTGTCTCTCATGTTGATGGCATTGTACAGCCGGCCTCATAAACACCGAGATTTGAAATACATTTCTTTAATTCGACACCTCTCGTAAGGTCGATTCCGGAGAAAAGAGTGCACGTCTAAATCCTATAACCGCACCGATTTTCGACCCTTTTTTAATGCACCACCATTCACGCCATTCAAGCGTGACGCTGCGTACCATCATGTTGTGTTGACCGCGAAGAGTAGTCAAATTCTTATACGTAAAGGTATGCGCAACTTATGGGGAGGTATTCTCATTCATTCAGTGAAGACCGAACATTTGTTCCTACAGTAGATCCTGCAGGCAACAGGTTACATTCCGACTGCTCAACATACGTAGATCAAGAAACGAAACCAAGAAAAAATGGCTTGTAAGACTTATTTGCATGTCAAAGAAGAAGAAATGAGTAAGATCAACGCCATGGTTTCAGTTAGTCTTCGCTCGACGTAATCACAATCTGCTATGTGTTGCTGACAAATCCCCTTAAACACCATGCTAAGAAAGTACATTATTTGGGCGGTACAAAATTTTGATGTCTTATTCGCATCATCAAATATTTTCAGTTCCATTTAGCAGGTCAGCCCTCATAAATCTAATTGCAAGTCCTGTTGTTTGGACTTCTTGGGTCCAGAAGAAGCCTTAAGATCTAACTCGAAACCGATCACAATATGTCGACACAGTTGAATCAACCTAGGGAGGTTTCCAGGAAGAAGGAAAAAAAGTAACTCAGATAACATCTGTACTAGATTGCATGCCATCGAGCGCACAATCTTGCGTTGTGCACTAATTGGGTAAGAATCAAATTTTGACCAAATTGTGTAAAAACTTTTCCGTATAGACTTTGTGTCTGTGGATGTTTTATTTTCCCTTTCATACTTGAAGAAACAAATTTGCTCCCCAACGATATTAACAATTCAAGGAATAGCCTGTGAGCAATTCCTTGCAGATATTTATGGTAATACGAGATTGATGTAGTATGGAAGTAACGGACTTAATATGCCCATGTACTATGTAGCTCGTATGAATATTAGACTATTAGTTTGTCTCTTGTACACACTCAATTATTGCAGTTCCGCCGACTGGAGCTTCCATTTTCAAACAGTTGAGATCTTCCGAAAGTTTTCTCCAATGGATCACGCACAATGCATAGTCAAAGCTCCCCTTGATTTGCCATTCCATTGAATTCGAGTCAGGAAGTTAAGGAATCGTGAAAGTAAGAGTCTAAATCATACATCCATGGCACACATCACAACGCAAGAAACAGTAAGAAAGTACAAATAATTCTGAGCCTTTGAATGTTGAAAGTAAACCGATGTGCCCATCTGGCCGACGTCCTTTTGCGAACTGATTCGAGCACGAGGAACCCATCGAAAACAGTGTATGTACAAATGGAAGGGACGGGAGGAAGTGCTGAATACACTCCGGGACTATTGCAAATGTTTGACATGTTGACCGAGTCGTCGTTCTGCGGCTCCTGCTCCGACGCAGGCTGGGGCCTGGATTCAGGAGGATGCAGTACCTCCGACTCTGCCTGCCGTCTGCATAGTTCAGACTCGGAACTGGACCGAAAGATCTGGTCAAGCTGGGGGGACACAGAATCACATATTTAGATCCTTGTCTTCCCACCGAGGAGCGACAATAAGACTCCACTGCTGGCAGCTGCCTACCAAACTTGTGAGGGATCGACTGTAGGATGCCGTGATGATGAAATTCGGTACATTTCACTTGTGGCATCGCGCGAGAAGACTCATTTCATTGGTCACAAAACGAGCAATAAATACAGCAACGGGATCGGGGACATGGCGATCGCGCCTGCACAAATCGGGACATGACGACGGTTGACACGCAAAAGAGACCATCGAACCGCGCAGTAGCAGCAGCAGCAGCAGCGGGCGACAACCACAACAACAACATCAGCAGCCGCAGGAGCACCAGCGAGACGCAGCGCGACCAATAATCATGCGGATCGCTGTAGAGAAGCCCCATTAAATGAGAGGCCGCAGCGACGTACGGCGTATGTGCTAACGGCAATGGCCAATGAATGAGGGCGTTAACTCTGATTTGTGGAGCGAGCTGGCAAGTAAACTACGTGTAATCAGGCATGATTAATACTAATAATACGTAAGATTCTCCCCCCGAGCCCAGCGTCTGTCACCCCTCCCTCCGCCCCCGTCGGGTCGGGCCCAGCCTCCCCGCCAGCGGTGGGCCCAGCCTCGGCGCTCCCCTCTCCTAGCGCATCCCCCGCCCCCCCCCCTCCCCCGTCCCCCGTCGCCGACTGGTCTGCAACCTCTGCTCGCGAGGCTAGAGAGTTACCGGAGGCGGGCTGAACTGGTCGACCAGTCACGCGGGTCCAGGAGGAGGTCCGCCAGGCTCCCGCAATAGCAGCCGCGATGGCAAAGGCAATAAAAGCACCGCAGCGCTGTAGCATATATGAATCTGGCAGAGGGAGAGGGCGGCAGGCAGGCAGGCCACGCAGGGCGAGGGCGAGGGCGAGGGCGAGATCGTCGAAGAAATCGAGAACGGGGGAGGTCGCCGGGAGAGAGAGAGAGAGAGAGAGGGCGGCCAGAGAGAGGCAGATCCGAGCTCACATCGAGTCTGCGGCCGTCCTGACCCGCCAGCATTTGATTTTCTACTTCTGTGGTCGCGTCGAGGTGCTCTGACTTTTCCTCCTCCTCCTCCTCCTCCTCCTCCTCATCATCATCCTCCGTCTTCCTTCGCTCGCTCGTTCTGCCTTTCGGTCGATCCATCGAGCTAGCGGAGTGGCCCGTGGCCCAGCGGAGGCTGGCACTCGAGAGGGGACAGCCGGGGGCGGAGGGACGCAGGGAGGCCCGTCGCTGCTGCTGCTAATTCGCAGGCTCCCCGTCGGTCCTGCCTCGAGCCTCGTCGCGGGGAGAATTGCCCTGGAAGGCATTTGAGGGAGGACGGAAGAAGATCACTGTCACACGAGAAGCCTGCTTCGCTCGGCGATCACCATCCTCATCCTCATATCCTCATAACGGAGCTGGGGTACTTCGGACTTTGTGCAGCTGGGGCTGGGGCTGGGTCGGTGGAGAGCTGGTGCGCACTTCCTGATCCGGAGAAGCTCGCGAGTCCGGAGCCGCAGGTGATCGAATTGGACCTGTGCTCACGTCGTATGGTGCATGTTGGTGCTAGAAGGGCCTCATTGACGACTTCGGCGTGAACCTCCTTCGGTTGCTGCGAGTCCCAGCTCAGTGCCATCGAGAATCGTCTATCGGAGGCCGGTCTTCTTGTTGGGATCCTCATTGCGATTCATGAGGACTTAGAATTGGACCCGGGGAGGAGAATGCTGCATGGGGCCTCAGCTTGGTCTCAAATTAAGTCTTCGACTTTTTCCGGATGAAATTTGCTTTTTCAAGACGCACCAGGAACGTCGTTCGCGCTCATCACTCGCCCAATTGAACGTGCTTGTACAGGTAATGCTTTCGAGCTCTTCTTCTCTTCGTGCAGCGCGCGTACATTATATGAATGGTGCAACATTGTCACCTCAATTCTGTCTCACATTTCTGCGTCGGTGAAAGCCAATGTATGCTGTCGTGAACGCTTTCGTGCCTTCCGTCTCGACGTACAGACGCAACGCGTGGTCCGGTACGCAAACGGCACGTAATAAATTGCTCCATTCGAGACCTCGCAGGGCATTAATTCTCTCGATTGATGCCCATATCAAAGTTTTCGTGTCGTGCATGACTGAAATCGCATGTACCTCTGTCCGTCGAAACGATTCTCGGGTTTTCCTCGCCGGCGAAGGATTGCCGTTATGATGCGTTTGTGTAGCAAGCTCCGTGCATTGTTGCGGATGCCACTTCTGCCCGGCAGTACGTGGTGAGTATGTTTCATCGTTGCTGTACATGCGTCGTCGTCGGACGACACGTACGGCCGATTCCATGCGCATTCGACTTACAGCAGAGATCTTCTGTGCGCTGCTTTCGAGTCGTTCGAGCTTTCCGATATGAAGATTCCTGCCAAGGGAATTGAAAATGCCTGAAATCATTCTCCATCGAAGGATTTTTCCAGCCGTGCATTTCGCTGACGGATTCTCTTTGGATCATCATTGGCAGGACAATCATGAAGATGGGGTTGAAAGGCAAGAAACATACGCAAGCTGGTGGGACTCGAAGCTACTCTTCGGGGTTTTCCATGTGGAGCAAACTTCAGCCGAAGAGGACCAAAAGCAGAGACTACTACAACTACTCGGACGAAGAGTCTACTTCTTACAGTGGCGAGCTCAGCCATTCGCAGTTTAATGGCCCGTTCTCGATGCACGAAGTAGCGAAAGGAGAAACTCAGAAAATCCAAAACAGATGGCTTTTTGGCAACGTCCTGGACCCTCAAAGCAAAAGCATTAAGAGAATTAACCGCATATTTCTTCTGACCAGTTCCTTAGGTATGTTTATAGATCCATTATTCCTTTATACAATTACAATCAACAGCAAATTGGCATGCCTTCACGTCGATCAAGGCTTCGCGACTGCAGTCACCGTGCTTCGTTCTCTAGTGGACGCTATGTACTTATGGCACATATGGTTACAATTGAAGCTGGCGTACGTGTCGAAACAGTCACTTGTACTCGGTGGAGGCGAGCTCGTATGGGACGCTCGTGATATTGCGATGCATTATCTCTTTGCATTCGAAGGCTTCATATTTGATCTGTTCGTGATTCTCCCCATACCTCAGGTACACACATCTTCTCTCTGCCTGTGCTCGTCCTGCTTGGCTTTGATGTTCTGTGGGATGATCTTTTTCACTTGAGGAGGAATGTGAGTAACGAAAATACTGCTCGAGTTCAAGCCAGCAAACAAAACATGTCACTCGTATTGTGAGCTAGTTTGTCGACCAAATTTCTTTGGTTATGCGTAATGGATGATTGTGATTAGCAATCCTCAGCAATCCTCTTGAACTTTGTCTGTCTGTGTGATTGACAGGTCATGATATGGATAATTGTACCAAGCATTATCAGCAAACAAGGAGCGATTACATCAATCATGCCGTACATGTTAGCCGGATTTCTGTTCCAGTACATACCAAAGGTCTTGCACCTATTCTTGGTCGTTCAGCGCATGCAGCGTGTCACAGGTTATGTGTTTGGCACCGCGTGGTGGGGATTTGCCCTCAACCTGTTCTGCTATATTGTTGCTGCCCATGTGAGTGAAATCGCTCCCTATCTCGTTCAAGCAGGTTCTGACTGATTGTTTTAACTGCCGGAGTGGCTGAAGTCGATTGTAACTGAAAGTGCCGCAATTTGATCGACGCGTGTAATGCTGTAGCCGAGCTTGTAATCCCAAGCATTTGCAGTCGTTATGCTAAGGCGAAAAGTGTTTGTCTTACAAAGGTGGTTCGTTGACTAGCGCTGCTGATTGAAAATGTGTCGACAGGTTGCCGGTTCTTGCTGGTATACTCTGGGATTGGAAAGAATGGAGCAATGCCTGGAAAAACAATGTGCTCTCACGCCCAGCTGTAGCATCGATTATGTGGGTTGTCCGAAGCCGGTTTCTTTCCTGGGAAAGCAACCGTATACCAATTCAGCATTTCTTGCATGGGGAGCAAGTTCAAATGTTGTGGACATTTGCTTCAGTCAAGATGGATCCATGGTATGGGGTATATACAATTGGGTGGTACCGCTGGTGACAGATACAAACGGTTTCCAAAAGATCATTCTTCCTCTGTTTTGGGGTATCATGACTTTGAGGTGAATGTTCACACTGTACTCCGTGGCGCAGAATTCTTCAAGTTCAATTTCTGAATCTGCAAACCCAAGCTGCTCGATTGGACTCTCCTTCAATCCACCGACAATTGTCTGACCCTTGAATGTGTGTGCGAACTTTTGCAGTTCATTCGGGAACGCACTTACTCCCAGCAATCACCTCGTCGAAGCAATATTCTGCGTTTTAGTCGTCACATGTGGACTTTTGTTATTCACCATGCTCATCGGAAACATTCAGGTCAGTATCCGGCGATCATGTGGTCTTAGTGATTATGAAAGCTGCTTACGAGCAATAGAAGCGGCTCTGATGAGATCTGAATCCTTGGCACGGGTGTCTGTCGCCTGCGCTGACATGTGATCCATTGATGCAGGTATTTTTACATTCGTACACATCGAGGAAGGAAGCGATGCAGTTACAAATGAGAGATTTGGAATGGTGGATGAGACGGCGCCAGCTGCCTACCCGAGTCAGGCAACGCGTCAGGCAATTCGAACGACAAAAGTGGGCTGCTACTCGCGGTGTGGACGAGGCAGCTATGGTCTCGGAGCTCCCTGAAGTGCTGCGACGAGACATTAAGCGTCACCTTTGTGTAGATCTAGTTCGCCAGGTACAATCCTCCCTTTCTTTACAGCAGACTTTCAATCTAACCATCGGAAAAGTCAAGATCAGCAAACTTCGCACGTAAATAACATCGTAGACAACCTCCGGAAAGTTGCTGATTTCGCATTTTCAGCGAATCTACCCGAGCAGAATTACTGTCACGTGTACATGTGTTTAATCGGGGCCGTCACGGAAACGAAATCTACTTTGAATCAAACTTGAGTTGATATCTGCCTTGAATCAGTCACTTTTAAGACAACCCTGCAAGTGCTTGTGTTTATCACGCAAAAATTTCTACTTTCTTCCGCTGCATGACACTGAACATTGGCATGTACTTTTGGGTGGGGCATGGCAGGTGCCGCTCTTCGATCAAATGGATGATCTCGTAGTGAACCAAATTTGCGAACGTTTGAAGCCCATGCTCTTTGTCAAGAGAGAAACAGTAAGTCCTTTGCCCACTTACGCGAAAGTTGAATGTGTTTAAAGTTTACATGGAGAGTCTTCACTTCGATTCTGTCAATGATTACCATAGCTGCCGCTTGGACAGCATAAAGTCAGTGACAGGACAACAGGGCTCGTTGCGAAGTGATTATGCTTCGTGAGCTCGTTCGAAGGAAGGAAAATTCCGCAATGAACCGGTGAATCGGCTGTTTCGCAGGTGGTGAATGCCGGTGACCCTGTGTTACGGATGATGTTCGTGGTACGAGGATTCATCCAAAGTGAATATCGTATGAAGAATGGGAATACAAGCTGCTGCGTACTGGGGCCCGGCACTTTCTGTGGTGACGAACTGCTGTCGTGGTGTTTCAAGAAGCCGCCGGTCCAAAGGTTCCCACCGTCGACATGCACTTTGAGAACCCTGAGCAACTGCGAGGTATTCGGATTCGAAGCTGATGATCTGAGATACATCACCGAGCACTTCCGCTACAAATTCGCGAACGAGAAGTTGAAGAACACGGCTCGATATTATTCGTCGAATTGGAGAACGTGGGCCGCTGTCACAGTCCAGCTCGCTTGGAGGAGATTCAAGAAACAGCGGGACGAGAGGAAGGAGAGGGAGAAGTCAGGCCTCCTCTACACGGGACTCAATAACCCGGCCCCGGAAGAAGTGACCCAGAGAACGTCTTTGGGCATGACCGAGAAGGATCGCCTTCGATTGTACACAGCCATGATCACTTCACCGAAACCCCAAGATCATTTGGAGTGACCCCAATCCAGCCACCATCGAAAACCATCAGTGGAGAATTGTGGGTGACGGCCATCGTTCACTCCAAATGTACAAAGCACCTCCAAGTGGGTAGTTGCTACTATGTATGCATCCCAATTTTGTTAATGCCTTAGTTTAGGTAGAGTGATAGTGTTTTGACGAAGACAGTGACGAAGAGGCAAGTGTCCTCTCGCATCCAAGGCAGTGGATGATCTACTGCATTGTATACTACAAAAACATTGTACTGCCTGGTATATAACATAGACTTAATTAGTACAACTTAAGTGCAGTAGATTCTGTGGATTTTGTGTCATATTCTGAACTCGTTCGCTGCGTAATTCGAGCGACGCAACCTCGCTCTGCTTCATTTATATTAAACATTTTCGACTTGAAACGTTCATAAATAAAATCTCGCCTGATGTCCAAACCAGCACTTCAGGGGTTTTGTGTTTGTACTCTCGTGACCGTCCACTTTGCACATTTACACATATCTGTGCGGTTCATGGGCATTACATTGTCATTACTTTTACAACACTGTTCTTTCAAGCCCATTGGCTCCTACAGAAGTCTTTATGATTTCACACGTCTCTGGCTGTCTGTCATTAGCAGGGAGGAAAGAATATATTCCCTGATACCCGCGACTTCTGGAAGTACTCTGTTTCTTCAGTAGTTGTGATGGTCGTTCTCAATATCTACCTAAGGTAACATTGCGCCCCAAAAAAAATTAAGAACTTACCACATTCTGTGAGAGGTTTTTTTCATGCACATAACTACTGTATTAATCTGCAAAGCTGTTGCAGAAGCTACGAGAAGTATTTTTTTCCGTATGTTTATCCTGTGCACACAATTATGGAATCTTAATCTTTTGGTTCAATATCCATTATAAAAAAGGTTAACATGCCTGCTGTTATTCGCAGCCAATGACTATTTCACTTAACATTTAATACCATACCTTCTGTTGTCTGCTACTTGTTAAGATTTTACCCCACCGTAATCATGATCGAGAGCTTCAAGTCTTGGTCCTCGGTGCCTTCCAGATCATCCGCACAATGATGCGCAGACAAGGAGAATTTTAATACCTACAGAGTAGCAATCGTGTTATAACCAGTATATTTTTTTGGAAGAATATTAAATCGCAAGACCAATTTTGTAAGATAATTAAAAAATTGATATCTTCATAAACATATTTATTTATTGAAATATGCATCTCTGTCTTAATATATGATGAATAATTCACACTAATGTCTTGTAACCTTTAGCTTCAAAGAAGTAAGAACTACTACTCCTTTGTGGATAACTATGGAATGTTAAAACGAGTGGCGTACATCGTCAGGTTCTCGGCAGCAGGAACTTTCGTTTCAAAGTTCCTGCTGTATGTAAATGGTAAATGGTAAATCAATCAAGCCCGTGGGACCCAAAGGGTCAAAAGGCTAAATAACACAATACAAAGAACCAACTCCAAACAAGGAGAGAACCAAAAGAACCCCCTAGCTAGTGTCCAAAGCACTAGAACGGTAACTAATAACATCCCTAATGTAACAACCTAAATCATAAGGTTCAAGCTGAAGCAAAGAATAAAAATTCTCAACAACAACTTTATGAGCCACTCTAATCTCTACATACCTAGTACAAGTAAGAAATACATGCTCTTCATCCTCAACTTTTCTTCCATCACATAGCCTACAAATACGTTCACTTCTATCAATGTTCAACCAACGCACTTCTTCAATCCCAAGACTATGAGATCATGTTCTATGTCTAGCAATAATATGACGTAAAGAAGTAGATATCTCTGCAAGTAAGTATCCTTGCTCACAATAAACAAGCATAGGATTCACATGAAGTTGATAAAACTGCATCTTGGTGCCTCGTCTGCTCCACATAATGCTGAGAAATTCCTCCTTAATACGCTCGCGTAAGGCAATAGGTTGCAAATTCCAATCGAGTTTCGTCACATTCCACCTCAAAGACCAAGTCACCACATCTGCAAACCAACCCTTGGGACGTGTGGCACGCAAAGCTTCAAGAGGAAGTCGAGAAGCATCAAGAGATCTCACTCTTTTGACGTAAGTGATAGTCAAAAAGAGAGCTTCAGCCTCAAGAGCTAGACAACCTGTTTCCGCAAGAAGAATTGCATAAGAAGTTTGGGTCCTCACACCCAATTCTTCTTGTAAGAAGATCTTTTGCACCCTCTCCAAACGCTGCCAACCTATCTTCTTACATCCAGGACCCCACACTTGTGTTCCATATAAGATAACGGGAAACACTAAGCTCCTGAATAAGAATTTCCTAAGACTCCAAGACACTAGATGAGCTCCTCTACATCTATTTAGCAATGAATATAGAGCTTTGAAACCAGCTTCTACCCTCTTTTGCACACAAAGTGCCCAACTATAATCAGATGAGAAATCAATGCCCAAATATTTGTAACTTTTCACTTGTTTCAACTCTAATACTTTGTAACAGAAAGAGAGCTTGGATCTAGTGTCCACAAGAATGACTTTGGACTTCTCCAAATTGACTTCCATCTGATTTTGAGTACAAAAGCTAGCCAAAGTGTCAAGGTGTTTCTGTAAACTAGTGGCATCACGTGCTAGTATTATGACATCATCTGCATACAAAAGAGCTTTGATGACAAAGCCTCCAAGTTTAACACCTTCGCTATCACAATCCTCCAACCACCTTTCTATATCATCTATGAAAACTCCAAAGAGAGTGGGAGAGAGAGTACAACCTTGAATGACTTCAATGCTGTTGATAATCTCTTCGGTTTGAGAAGTGTTGATCTTGGCCCGAACTGAGTGGTATAATGCAGCCACCTCTGCTAAGAGATATGATGATACTCCAATGGTTTGCAATCTTTGCCATAAAAGCTCACGAGGTACTATGTCAAAAGCTTTCTTGAAATCAATGAAGGCACAAAACAAAGCTTTTCCATTACCCTTGGATTTCTCCCATAGAACACGTACAACCAAGATATGGTCTATAGTGTTGAATGTAGGACAAAAACTAGCTTGGAACCGCGCTCTCTTCTGACAAGATTCAGCCCATGTGCTCAACTTTGAATCCACCAATTTGCCAAATAACTTGGCAAAAATACTACCCACCATGATAGTGCGATAGTTTGTCACCAAGGCCTTGCTCCCAGATTTGTGAATAGGAACAATCTTCCGTAGAGACCAAGATGAAGGAAAGCCATGAATAGCAGCATCCTCTAACACTTTCGTGAATATAGGCCCAATAGCATCTCCTCCCCACTTGAGAAGTTCAATGGAAAGCCCATCCAAATCCTCACATTTACCATTTGCCAATTGTCTGAGTTGAGTCATCACTTCAATTTCTGAAAATAAGCCTGGATTTCCTTCACAATGTGGCATAGATGCAACATTGGGAAAAAAATAAAGCTTTTCAGCAAAAGAAATCAAAGACTTGGGATCAAGAGTAGGTTTAGAAGATCGTACTGCCAACCGCCTCCAAAAGGATTTGGGATTCTCCAAGAGCTCCTTTGTCAAGCTTTCTTGCTTCTGCCTCAAAAATGCTCGTTTCTTGGACTTCACCAAGTCTTTGTAAAGTCTTGTCATAATCAACCGATTGTGAAGATCCAAGGATTTATCAAGTGATCTTGCTCTCGCTTGCTTGCAATCAAAGTCAAACCATCCATTGCAAGGAAGACCTCTAGCTCTCCTGGTCTTATGTCTCAAAAAGAACTTAGAAGCAGAGTTTTGGAGCAACTCTGTTAGTTGCAAACTAGATGTATGGGGATCAAGGCTCCAAGTAGTACAAGTCAAGAGGTCTTGGAAATGTTCACTATAAAGTTGCTTCTTACTAGCATCTAAACAAAACTTGGGGAAGTAGAAACATAGTGACATGTAGGGAGAGGGATTGACGTTGACAACAAAAGAGTAAATAAAAGAGGTGTATGATTTGATTCTGGTTGAGGCTCTAGAATATCAAACGCTGAGATAAATGAACTATTAGTGGCAGAGTACAAAAGATAATCTATAGTGCTAACACCAGTAGAGAAAAAACATGTATTGGAGTGAGAGTTGGGAAAGAAAGAAACACCATTGAGAACTTTCAGATTACAAGTGGCTCCAAAAGTCAAGAAATGCTCAGTCAAATCATTTGTACAAGGATCACAAGAGACTCTAGACCACAAACTATCTCTACTTTCTTCAAAAGAGTGAGAAGACAAGGAACTATCAAATTGTGTAAATTGAGCGGAACGTATGCGGGCATTGAAGTCACCAACAAGAAAAACTTCACCTTTGTCTTGATATTTGAGAACATCTCTTATGAGCCGATGGAATGGTTGACTTCGATTGCAAGTGCTTGTGGAGTAGATCTGCATGGATAATGGTGCAAAGTAACAAACTGCCAAATAACTGCAAGATCCTCCAATCAATCCGAGACGAAGCCAATGATATTGTTTCCCAATATCTTGGCTTTCCAAATGTATCATAGGAAGAAGTTCAGATCTGATGAAAGTAGCAATGCCTCCAAAGCCTCTTCCTGCTCGTCGATTTCTATGATTCCAAGTAGATCCCACTAGAGTAAACCCTTGTATCTCTCCAATAACATTACTTTCATGCTCCCAAGTCTCAACAATGTTGAGGATGTCCGCCATCTTCCAAATCGGATGTGCACTCACAACCTTAGTTGTAGATAGGACTCTTATGTTCCACATCAACACACTCAATCTCTTGGATTGCTAGGTTGATGATTGTCTCCTCCTCTTGGTGATAATAGCTTGACTATCACGTAGATAAGCTACAAAACCTGCATCTTGAGCTTCTTTGACTTTTGCAAGCTACTTCCTCCTTGCTTCAACTTGAAGAGGTGTAAGATCTGGATCTAACCAAATTCTCCGTCCCTAGAGAATGGCCTTGTTAGCTAAAGTCATATCACGTTGAGCTTGATCCACAAACTTAACAATAATGGCACGAGGTTGTGCGCCTTTGTTGCCAATACTGGAAGCATGAGCCAAATCCGAATTAGTAACATCAAGTGTTTCAGTCAAGAACTTGGTGACCACACTCTTCACCTCTTCCTTCTCAGATTCAGGTAGACCCGAAATCCTCACATTCTTCATACGAGCAAATTGATTAGCCTTTTCAATCTCTTGCTCTTGATAGAAAGAGATATGAGCAGACTTGGAAGCTTCAGCATAGGACTTCATTTTCACCTCAAGAGTTTCAACCACTTCATGCAAAGCAGGAGTAGTAACAGTAGAAGCTTGAGAACCAACCTTGTCTTGAATGCCCTCAGCAGATCAAGAGATTTTGGAGCATGATCTTCTCAAAACTTTTGTGAGAAATCTTCAACTCCCGGATTTCATTCTTTGTGCCTTGAATTCTTGGCGTAGCACTTTCAATTCTTCCAAAACCGTTTGCATAAGATTGAGAAGTTTGTTTTCGGAATCCATCATGAACCCAACTTTGCAAGATGTTACACAAACTCAAAGTTTTGAAATGAAAACTTCTTGAAAGCAGCTCCGTTGAGGCTGAAAATTTGCAGGTATGTGCGCCCGGCCGTCGTGAACAAGCCCACTAAATCTCAGCTCCTGTTGACACTCCAACAAGAAGATATGACCCCCGCAAGATTCATGCTCAAACCCCTAAACTCAAAGTCTCGAAATGAAAACTTCTTGAAAGCAGCTCCGTTGAGGCTGAAAATTTGCAGGTATGTGAGCCCGGCCGTTGTAAACAAGCCTACCAAATCTCAGCTCCTGTTGACACTCCAGCAAGAAGATATGGCCCCCGCAAGATTCATGTTCAAACCCGTAAACTCAAAGTTTCGAAATGACAACTTCTTGACAAGAGCTCCGTTGAGGCTGAAAATTTGCAAGTATGGGCGTCCGGCCGTCGTGAACAAGCCCACCAAATCTCTCTAGGTATTTACAATGTCAATTCTATGCAGGTATTTACAAAATTATGCTGTAGAAATTTCTTAACAAAATTATCTCAAGTTATTCAAGTTCATCATTTTGACCATGTTTGTGTGTATTGTATTATTTATTTGATAGGCACAATAATTAGACCTATACTAAAATTATTATAGATCTCGTAAAAAATATTATATTTTCAGTTTTTTATATTTCTACTTATTTTATAATTTTCAAAACTTATGCAAATAAATCGAAATTTTAACTTGACATAAGAATCAAATTTTATGAATAAATCAGATTATTCAAAAACCTCACCAAGCTCCTTTATTACACTTTTCAAAATTTTACAAACAATTTCTGTTTGCAATTTTTTATCTGTATGAACCTCATATTATCAATTCACACCCAAACAAAAATAATCAAGTCAAACTTTAGCCAAGCATTGTGCTAATGTCTAAGTTTTTGGACAATAAAATCAAATGGTTTGATTTCTTCACGATGAACTTGCCTTACGCCAAAAAAAAAATCTAAGTCTTAACTTCACTCCTAGATTTTTATCACTTAATTTTTTCATCTTGACATTTTTTTCCTATAACATCTCGTGAGTTGTTGATAAAATTATGCAATCCTTTACATTAGAATTTTTGGATCAATCTCTCCAATAACTACTTTCAAATATCACACAAATCGTTTTTCAAATATTTTATTTTTATAACTATGTCAATTTTTTTCCCTTTCGCTTGTTTCTGTCTTTTTGCCATTTGTTATCACCATCACTAAAAATTGTCTAATCAGCTAACCAAAGCAAGATGTTTTGTATTTTCATTTTGATAGTAAATTTTTTTTTAAAGTTCATTATTTTTCAAATGAAAAAATAACAGGTGATGAAATCTATGTAAATTATGACAATATAAATTTACATTTTAGATACAATCATCTTGTTCTGGAGCCATATACCATGTTAGTGGTATGTTGACTAAGATCTTTTGTGATCATTTGACCACAATTTTCATGTTAAAAAGTATGTGATTGAGAGATTGTTTGTTTTGCAGGTTTTAATCTGTTATGCTTAAAATTGAATAGTTCAATGTGTTTGATATTTAATTAAGATGATTAGAATAATCAGAACCATCAGAATAATTAAAATGATTTGTTCATCAAAATTTATCTTTTAAATATTCGACATCTGTAATGTAAAAATTCTTTATTAAATAACAAGAAACATGTGTACCAACTTTATCAATACAATATTATGTATATTTGTAGTCCATTATTGATTGAATATGAATTCATGTAACTATTCACTCTCTTAACAAGTGTGAAGATTTTATTCAATTTATGCTATCATCGTTCCAAATCTACTTTCAACTACATGACTTTACAAGCTATATTTGAATTTAGAATTCTGACTTGTTAATAAAATCCATGTCTTTTTCTTAAATTTGCATGTTTATTTACATACTCTCATAATATCATTAATGTGAAGCAAAAAAATTTAAATCACAATTTGTCTTATAGTCTGACAAAGTCAAATCTTAGTATCTTGCTAAAATTAGCGCATATCTTGCTAGAATTATAGTTCATGTTTTTTCCCATATCCATACAGAATAATTATTATTCATGGAGATAGCTATGTATACATATTCAATGAGGATCATGCTTCTACAAATATTGAGTGTTTTTCTACTTCAAAACTTCATTTGGAGATTATGTACTACTTTGTGCATGACCTGCAGCCTGCAGGTCAAGCAGTCTGCAGGCTTGTTTATTTTTTCATCTGCGTTTCTTTGCCTCATCTAGCCACATATTTCTTGACCAATAATATGTAGTGAAGTGTGGTTTAGATGCTGGAGATCACACATCACACTACATTTCATCGGTCAAACGATATGTGGCAAGATGAGAGATTGGAGACTTTTAGCCTCAACCTAAGAATGTTGGCAAAAGAATGTGCATAATGTGCGATTCTAATATTAGATGAACTTTTCCAAGGAAAAGTTTCCAAATAAGAGGACTTTTTATCAAACTGTAACCTTTCTCCTAATTTTTTCATTCCATTCACGTGTTGTCAAGACATTGCTACTTGTGTTTCGAGAGTTCCTCCCATTTCGAAGCAACTGTTTGGAAACTGCCAAATCCAATTTGAAGCTTGAACTTTCAATTTCATGTCTCTTGTCAAAACATGGTCGCAGACACTGTTGAGCCTGAGTTTGCAGTGTGCAACGTGCAATTTCGTCTTCTTAAAATACGAAATCTGTGTACCTATATTGTCTTGCGGACCGTAATCTTCAATTTAATGTTGTCCACATGCATACAAATACACATTTACCTGGTATCAAAGTTCATCGACTTCTGTAGTACTAATCTCGTGGGTATGCTTAGTTATTCGGATAACATTTAGCTGACATCATGTTAAGCAGTTCGGAGTAAATTTGTCATAATCCACACATGTATAAATACGAATTATTTTTTTTTGTTCAAAAATCTGAGACATTATCGCCGAAAATAGATACATATTTTACTTCACACATTCTTGACTTCTATTCGTGGCACGTCAAAGCAAACCACTTGTTGGATAGAAAATTATATCCATCCTCTCACACAACTTCAAGTCTTCTACTCCACCACCTTTCTTGGGGCAACACGTTTCAGGTTGATATATGCGAAGAAGTAAGAGAGTAAGACTCGGAACTCAAGAGAAGGTCACAAATCCTCTACGTCTGCTTCAAGATTCAGTCGGCAACCGTATTGAAGATGGATTCACATACATCATTGACTCATATGTTCTAATACCCAAACTTGCATGTAAATGTGGATTACAAAACTAAGGCTGGTTGACACTCCTTACTAATCATCCATTACTAAAACACAGTTCCAAAAATTCAGAAGATTGATCGAATCAATTGAGCTTGAGTCTTCCGGTCAACGTTACAGCTAATGACTGACCACCTACGGAAACCCACAAGACATAAGACGCAAGCTTCTCTTAGTTGCAGACACGCTCGTTTAGGAGGAACTCCATGCCGAATATGCGACTCTGACCTGTGACGAGAAACACAGCACACACAAAACTCCAAATCGTGTCAGGGACAAACATCCAACTTGGGATGTGATCACTTGACCCACTCAGGATTATCTTTCCGCTTCTTTACTTTCTTGGGCTCTGCTTTAGCTCCTTTCGCTTGTGGAACGCCTGGACCACCTTTCGATCCCTTCCCCGCACTGCCAGCTAAAAAAGCCTTAAGCAAGTCGGCGAGTTCTTCCATTGCACCTTCCTGACCAGCTGGTTTTAGATTTTCTCCCTGCCAGTAAGGGACTTTCAGCCTCCAGTGACTACTAGGTTCAGATATCCATTGAGCAATCTAACATAAATTTTGAAAGTTTATAATGTAAAATCTAGGTTCATTTCCTAGAGGTAATCTGTTCTCCATTGGGCAGCACGTGGAGCATCAACAATACGATGAATAATTCTGTGTAAACAAGCCAGTGGAAAGTAAAAGCAACTTCCATGTCGAACATTCGGATAAGGAAAACAAGACAGTATATACCAAGCTCGAAAATAACAGAAGAATCGTCTCAAACTCTTTGTAGGTCACGTTATGTTTGAGACACTGGCCGAGACTGCTATCAGGTTTCATACGGTAGTTGTAAAGCTCCAGCAAAACCTTTGCAAGAAGTGCACCTGGTGGAACATCATGTCCAGGTCGGCGACCCTGCATCAACATACGCTTTTTTTAAGAGAAATCTATGATTACTATAGACGAGGTGGGATACGTCAGGGTTATGCAGAAACAGGAGCGGAAACGTAGCAAACGACCATATCAGAATCAATCAGACTCTACACAGTACTGATAAGAATGAAAAACAAGATACATCATTTAAACGATGAACACAGTAAAACTTAATTACTGCTTTTGCCCAACTATGGAATCTGACTTTGAGGGACAAGTCCGGTACGAGCAGAACTGTTAATACACACAGAAGTTAAGGAACTGCCAACAACTTTAAAAGTCGTGAGCATCATGTCGAGAGTCACCGTCTATCGACTTCATCGGCAAGCTTCATGAAACTTCTACAACGTCTACAATGATGAACATTCGCATCTGGGTTTCTGTCGCGTTACTTAATCCAGTTTAAATATCGATATACGACATCAAAAGTAGAGAAGGGAAACATACAATGTCCGTAAAACAAGAAACTGTAAGACAACATTTCTATCAAATGAGAACCATACACTACCTGGCCATACTTAATCACAGAGCCGAGACTTATAGTGTAGTCACTTGTCTCCGATTCCAGCAGCAGTTCACAAAATAATTTCTGTATGACGACTGTGTTTTCTGATAGCACTGCTCGAACTGGAACGCTGTCCACTTTATAAAGCCACGTGTCATAACTCATAGAAGCCAGTGAATGAAACATTGAAGCAAATAGCCTCTCAACCTGTGATACAAGAATAAGTCAATGTCTGATATTAATTCGGAAAACTGCCGTCCTCCAACTGAAAACAAAATAGCTTAAATTGAACATGGACAAGTAGATTATAATACGGCATGCCTGACCTTCTCTTCCGAGGATATTGCCTCGTGTTGGAACTTGAAGAGAGCTACTTGAACAAGAGCCACAACGACTTCCCTGAGGATCAGCTGCCTAGTCTGCATGCAGATTTTTATGTCACTCCTTAGACCTCATTTCAATACAGCAAGAAGGTGAACAATCTGAAAGAACAATAAACTGTACTCACTGTACATATATTATCGCAATCGGAAGTGGGAAAAGTGGAATCCGCAATAAACTCCTCCCTAAAACTATTGTGCCTCCTGTTAAGGCTGTTGTAAGATCATCAAGGGAACAAACCGACCATGAAAGAATGGATCAAGTACATACAGGACTGTGGGCGTCAGAAACAGAATCCCAGGATAGGTCATTCAGAGGCAGCATACGATCGACGTCTGCCAGTCCCAGTCCAGGTTGAAGAACCTGGCCAGCACCAATAAGTACAGTAATCAAATTTTTCAAGACGAAATGCTTGCAATGACAAAAGAGGCATCTAAAAGTTTGATCATGAGAATGTACAAGCCTCCCGTAGAGTTTGAGCTGTTGAGATAGTTATCTCTCGTGGATTTCAAAATTCACGATATAAGTTGTTGGGTAACAATAACGTATATCGTGAAATTTGTTAGCTACGAGATATTCACACTCATCTCTGGGGACTCTTCGTACGCACCACATCTGATGGACTTTTCAGAGGTTGTGATGCTAAAGTGACATGGATTAAAATAAGAAGCACTGATCAACGAGAATGTTGTACAAGAGCATCTTGTAGTAGCCTCCAAAACTGTCGATTTGCAAGTCCGCGTGATCGACCAGCTATTCCTTGTCGAGGTGACTCTGGTTCTGGTTGTATCACTTTCGCAGGTTCAAAAGGTGGCTCTTCCACCTCCGGTTCTTTCTTCGGAGTATCCACCTTGCCTCCTTTTTTTCCTTTCTTTTCTTCTTTCGCTCCCTTCTGCCCTGGATATGAAACAAAGTACGTCAAAGAAAAAGGTAAGATACAGACTCCACGCATGCCATTTCCTGCTAGGAGAGAATGGGAATTTGGTGTTAAAAATTGCAACCAAAACAACGGACTCACCGAGGGTTAATATGAGCTCTTGGGCCTCTTCAACATCCTTGCAAGACATTAAACTTGCAATGGCTATTGCCCTCGGCTGTTGATTCCGATCAAGAAAAATGGGAAACACTTCTACAAGTCCCTGACTGACCAACTCCACTGACAGGTCAAGGAGCAGCTACCTTTCTTCGCAGGCTTCTCTTTAGCTTTTGAGTTGTCTTTCGGAGCTTCTTCCTTAGACGTATCCTTCCCAGCTTTGCCTTCCTCGGACGCTTCGCTCGCAGCTTTTCCTTCTTTTCCCTTCTTCGCCCCCTTCTTTTTCTTCCCGTCGTCTTTCAAAGGTTCTGATTCTGCTTCAACTGCCTTCGCTACCGGCTTTTTAGGCGGTGAGAACTCCTTAAGGGAACTACTAGCAGAAACAGCAATACTTCAGTCACCGACGAAAGAAGGAGACCAACGGTACAACAAGACAAGAATCTACGGGTGGAAGAAAACAAAGGCCGATAAATGCACATGGAGAACAGGAGGGCGAATTTCTCTTGTGATAAATAACTATCAATCCGACGGCTCCTCCTTTCAGCTACTTAAACAAGCTGCCTAATTGGACTATATTTCAGGTTCTACGAACGGCATACATAGGTCAATGTCGTGTCCTTAAGTGAGAACAAAATGTTACTTTAGAGATTACTAATACAATATTACTAAAACAAGACTGCGACGTTAATACTTTTGAGAATTTCCAGGTAACTGTACCGAAGGTTTCTCGACATGTTCTGTGTTGTGAACGGGACTTTGTAATTGCCATCGGGGATAAAGAACTGACCAGGGATCACAGGCATCACTAGAAGGGGTCACAAGCCAGAGTCGATCGATATCGCACATAATCAACGGAGGACAAAAAGGTAAATGGTCTCCCCGTGGGAAGCAGGGCGGGAAGCTGGGAGCCAACATGCTTCATGCAGATCTTGTTCTTGTTTTTTATTAGGCAGATCAGCTGAACAAAAAAGAGACGATATACTATACACCAACAGAACCCACACGGGACCAGAGGGTTTCGTACAGCCTAGTCTTAAGGGCGACTGAAAGAAAGAGGGATAAGCCCTCCAGATATTTGACATAGTTTTCTCACACAAATAGAAAACAAAACCACGAACGACCTTCCTATGATAGGAATGATTCAAGGCTCTCTCTAGCCTGAATCCTCAAGGAACGAAAAGAATAGTAATAGGATTCTTAGCCTAATAAACCAGCAGGGTAACGAAAGAAGCAATCCAACTCTTACAATAAATTGCTCTCTGGGTTTTCAGGGTAAGTGAAGTGCAATAATAACCCTCCTCGTAACTATTTCGACTAGGCTACGCGAGTTAGGTATTGATTAGTTTATCAGCTCTAACATTTGCTAGAAAGAATGCGGTGAAAAAACCCAAACATTCAGCTTTATGACATTCATAGACTGTGTAAGAAGAGATAATCGAAGGTCAAAGGGAATCGACCAGTAATATAAAAAGGCATCTTGAAGGTCATTCTTGTAGCGCATTATAGTTCTCAGTATTCCATGCTTTGCAACCTCTATGTCCTCCTCTTTTAAGTACTTAACTGTAGAAACAAGTGGCTGCACATCCACCATAAATGTAGTTACGAACAGCATAAGCATTACGATTTCCGTAAGAATTACCGAACTTCTCTTCAGGTGAGTCATGAACAATGTTTCGTATCTGAGGTCTAGCTGATAAATATAATTTAATGGTCGCGTAGAAAATCCTGCTGTATGTACATAAGCAGGAAATTGACTCTAAATGTTCACCACTGACTGCAGACGGTCAAGAAGTAAAACAAGACGATTGGCAACGTCAAGGATATTACCTCCGGCATGTCAAAACCGGGCTTTGAGACTGGATCGTAACGATCATGCGAAAAGACTCCAAAGTGCACCTTGCCAGTCTCACAAACGATGACTCCAAGGCCTACTTTCATGTTCTCTTGCCAATTTCCCTGCCATTATGCCATTCATTCTGATGACTCGATTTATCTCATGTCTACTGAGAATATCATCTACCGTACGCGTATAGGGGGAGGTCGGTTTGAACAAGGTTAAAATGCACACATCGAGGAAAGAAACTCATGACGCCGAGTACCTGCGGAGTGCACTGTGCCCAATTGACTCCTTACAAAGTGGGGCGAGGAATACAGTACTAAGAAAAAATTACCTTAAACAAAGCACCAGATGCATAGAAAAATGTTCCTTTTCCGTGCCGCATGCCTTGGTTGTAATCCCCTACATACGAATTGATAAGGATGCTTGCATCTTTTTGCTTGCCGTCCCATGGCCAGTCACTTCTTCCTCTGGAAACATCGGAAAATACGTCAGTCTATGGTCGAGAATATGTCAACAGAGGGAATAAGGAAATACAGAAAAATAAGATACTGCTTGCTTAAATACCTTCCTTCGAGTCCAAAGCATCGCATGTATGCATTTATACTCAAATACGTGTCATGGTAATTCAGGGGAAAACGAGGAGTGCTTTGTCTCAAAAGTTCTTTGTATGCGAAAGCAGGAAGCAAGACAAATACGAATAGGAGATCCTTGATGTTAACACACCTTTCCTTCCACATGTTGCATTTAGAACCAACCAATGATTATCTGGTTTATGTTTCCACAATAAAAATCTCAGTATTACCGCGAAACGATTACTCTAATCTACAAAGTTGTATTTCCTTCTCAAAACTTAAGCACAGCGGGGATGTTGAGACTTCAACGATTGAAAGGACTGGTCAGCTCATGGTCTTTTTGCTAAAAGATCCACGTAGTAATGGTAACAGTTTAGACTATTTATGTGTACCAAGAACTGAAAAGCTTCCAGAGGCCACCCTCCAAACCAATCTGCTGAAATTTGTGAAATATTCGTCAAAGATGGCTCAAACCAAACCAAGAGCTTACTCATGAAAGATGAAAACAAGTACCAAGATATCCACTCAGAAGAGCTGACAACCTTCCATGAGGCAGACCTCTTAACCATTCTCCTTCGTAGCAGTGAGAAAATACAGTGTCTGGTCTTCCCTCCACAGCTAAAATATGACTGGCAAGAGCTCCTTTACCACCTTTCTCTTTACTGGGAATAATTCGTTCAATCTGTTTGCCTTTTCCATGCCTCTTCCCGTCAAGCCAAGTCCCAACATACGAACTTCCAGAAGTGTATACCAGGCAACCATCGCCATCCTTCCGATCGTTCTTCCAGGTGCCTTCGTGTGTAGCCACTGTCCCATAAATCATTCGTCCCTACAACCACCGACCTCTAAACTCAGTCAAGTTAGGTGGCAAGGATTCATATAACTTTCTAGCCAGCATTTGCTTTGAAATACAATTCAGACTAGAACAATTTCCGAATGACTGTTTCGTACAATCAGTTGACCAATACCCAAGGCAGGCATTAGAGGTCAAAAAATTCAGGGTTCTGTCATAGATGTGCTAAATATGGATACGAAAAAATGGGTTGCACATCGACTCAACTCAGAAAGCATTAATGACGAAGACCCTGATGGAAGCATACTACCCCAAGAGCTCATCTTCAGGCTCCATCGTGGACACAAAACGACCAGTGCCTTACAGGTAGCAAGTTAGGCCCGAGGAAGCCATAGAAAAGTTCTTCACTCAAAAATGTATTGAGTTACACGAATGATGAACATAATCGATGACGTCCAACCCAGTATAGAAATGTGATGATTATTTCACATAAAATTCTGAATATCCCAAGAACTCCATGCATCTCGATATAGACGATGTCCATCTGACTCAAGTCATTGTCGTAACAACCACTTGATTGTACAGGAAACTCCAATCATAGTTCCCGGAACGGTCTGTCGATTTAGAGACGAAGAAGATACAGATAAGTGATCTGTTATTTCTGACACTAGATGATGTCTAGGAACAGTGTATGAACATCAGGATTATCCTAGACAAAATAGAAGAAAGTGGACTTATACCAATCATCTCTGAGGACAATCTCTGAAACATTCTGTTTCAGTTCGGACTCTCCACTGACCAGCTTTTCTCTGTCCTCTCAAAAAAGGAAATAAGAAAGCTGTGACAAGTCCGTCGCCTGCAGGTAATAAGTTGGCCTTCAAGATGCTACAATGGATCACTTCATTCGAAGTTTGTTTGAGTAAAGAACAGGTGCTATTACTCCAAGAAGAACTAGAACACGATAACTAAGTTTCTGTGGAGGTTTTTCCAAATATCATCGACAATCGACTGAGACCTCCTGGACATTCAAATTTACTCGCTTATGTCCTCTCTGTAAATGTAAAGGCTGTGATGGAGAGATCTTGACTGGTTAATTCGGTAAAACTGACTAGTAAACTGGAGATTACTAACTGAGGACTTTCATCTTGCAGAAGGAAAAACACTTACTCATGCAAGAAATTTTCTATGTCAGGGTGAAGTTTTTGTTATGCTAGCGGGGTTGTTCAGAAGGAATGAGAAGGAGCGGGACAAGCATATACCGGTCCAGATCGTCGGCCCTTATCCCATCGGCCTTGATACACAAGTCCTCCAGGCCCTTCAATCTTGCCTTGCCCGTGAGGCAATCCATCAAAGATCTGCAATTTACAGTTTGTAAGGCTACCCACTTTCAGGTATACAAGCTGTGCATCTTGAACACCGAAGTGATGGTTTCTTTTCATAATATAAGCAGCAAGCATACACATTACAGATAGGACATTTCAGACGAAAGATTGGTGCTGTCAATTGTGGTGTGTTAAGAATTTCATTCATAGAAATAGAGTTTTGAATTTGCAACCTGACCAGTATAATTGGCTCCTCCGACCCAAGAATAAACACCCTTTCCGAGAAGTCGATTATAGTAAAAATTGCCCTCAAACGAACTGCCATTATCCCACTCCAAGCGACCTGGTCCATGCAGGAGTCCATTCTTGAACATTCCTTTATAATGAACACCGCCAGCCATATCGGCGCTCCCCTCGCCATCTGGCATCAAGTCCTCATCCGTATTCCCTTGATAAGAGTTCATCAACCAAGCTCTCACCATTCCCGGAGAGACTTTCTCATCCTTGTATCGTTCATATTGCTTCAATAACTCCTCAGGGGCAGCGTGGAGACTGTACAGTCTGTAGATTTCTCTTTCATAGATAATCCTTTGCTCATCCTCTGAAGGGTTTACTGGCTTTAAAGGAACGGCCTTCTTCGTAAGCTGTGATTTCTTCAATGTTCTGTGAGGTACAATTTCCGGTGGGGGTGGCCATTCTCTTTTCTTCTTTAGCGGAGGCAGGTTGAACTCGGGTTTCCATCCGTACTGCGGCATCTTCAACAGTTATCGTCTGCACGATGACAGATGGGCTTTTTGACTTGAAATGAATCCGAATCATGCGGTAGGTCAAATGTCGTTATGTTCTGCAATCCGATTCTCCATGCTAGCTGAACTTAAAGCTAACTTCATCTCCTTTGCTGCAGCAAAAGACAACACCTCCGTGAACGCATGGCGCGGATTGCATTGAATCGTTGTGCAATTCACGCAAAAATTGAATTTGTTTCGTGCCTTGCTACAAATGTTCTTGCACACATCGTATACACGATTCTTTGGAGATCGATGTTCGAGGCAAAAGTATGTAAGAAACGAGCAAAACCTACTGAAGAGAGACAAAATATTGCTCACTTACTGATTGTCTCGGTTTAGCTCGCGATGCACAGTGGATTACTGGACAGATGTCTCTAAGTACAGAATCCACTTGCCTCCGAGACTGCTCGAAGTAATGTGGCAGGGGAACATGCAGAATTTGGTATGGGGCACCTCGAAGACAAAGCGATCGATACTAAATAAAAAGTATATACGGTAGAAGCAGCCGATGGTATGACACTCTTCACCCAACTTCTCACGTAAATCGGAACAGGTCGTGTCCAGCTGTTCGTGTAACTTTATCACATCCCACTCATCCAGGCCTTGCGACAGAACTAATTCGTGTAGATGTTGTATTTCTGATTCATGTAAAGCATTTGGTGCATAAATTGGCCCATAATTTGGACAAAACCTTGTATTGACTGGCGAAAGGCTGAGAACGTATGTGACCCATCAAACCTTGGCATACCCGTTCTCTGCATAATCTGCCGTGCCAAACACTGGATGAAATCTAACATCTCCAAACTTACGATTTTCATGTGCTATTCAACTCTGAAAAATTGATTCCACCTTCGTATCCGGATCGATTATAGGCAACCGAATCTGCAGCATATACACACAATCTACAATGTGGTTTGAACTCAAATTCTACAAATACAGCAGAAAACCAAAAAAAAAAGGCCTTATGAGGGACTCCTCCTCTTTTTTTTGGCGTTCTGCTGACCTTGTAAAACCCAAGAAAAAGCTCAAGTCTGAGCATGAGACTGGTATCTCCGCAGTCTACCCTAAGCTTACGATCTAATCAGAAATGCCCAGAGTATTGGCCGCCCACAATCAAGAAAAGCAGATGAGAACGATGAAAAACAGCGGTTTCGATTAAGAGCAGACACTTGCAAGTGTTCAGGACATCTCAATCTCTGTCGTATGTCGTCTACAAATTCATGTCCACAGCTCGGATCTAGATCACTCTCGGACCTCCCACACTCTCTTTGATAGATTCAGGACGGACCTTTATCTGGGTGGCGAGCACCCCTTCGAATGCGATGAAGGTCATAACCTCATGAGCGACCATCCAACATGAGTGCAATTTAATAATAAATCCTCATCGATATATTCAAAAATGTATGATTTCATTGATGCTAGTTATAGGATTCCCCTTCCTGTCTTGGGTCTTACGAGTGACATACAATATGTAAGAGAGTAATTGTCGGAGAGATAAGCCGTTTATCACGAAAAAATCAGCTTCTATAAACTTGCAGTTGGTTGTTTGCTTCGCAAGTTTTTCTTTCGTTTGGTACCTCTTTCTATTACTAGCATTTGTCTCGTATTATGTTTCAATATGTAACCAGAAGGAAAAAGATGAACTAGTAAATTTTGTGAAAGTTGTGAAGAGTCAACTCATAGTTTTAACGTGAACTTGCAATTAATGGAAGTTTTAGACATTATCTCAATAAAATTCATCCACCATATACCCTCCACTTCAAACATAGATCTAGATTGCTCTCTAAGTTGATTATTCGTGTCATATATAAACTACATACGTGATCACATGAATCTTACACAGCTAGGATAAACTCATGGATAGTATGTTTCACAAATACTAGTGGATACTCCTGAACTTGAGACACAGTGAAGTCGCTTGGTTTCTTCAAAGCGAATTTTAAGCAAGTGCCATAAAATACCATACTATACCATATTATATTTCAGACACGGTATTTCGGTACAATGGCATGCTAACCCTAAACCCCTAGCCTCCCAAGGATGAGTACTAACGTACTCATTACAAACAACTCAATAGATTAATACTAATACTAATAATACTTATTAATACTAATAAACTTCAAAAGAATTCAAACATTATTTCAGTTCAATAGGTTGTACTCCATTCATCAGAATTTACTTCGCCTACAGTGTTCTTTTTTCTAATCAAATTTATGAAATGAACTATAACTTCACAAACCTCTTTATTGCAAGAATCAATAGGTAAACTTTAGAAAGATAACATCTTGATTTTCCATTTTTCAAAAAATTATTCGAAAGTTTTTGTGAAGTCACAATTATGTGTGTATAGAAGAATCTATGGATGTGTTGGTTTTTTATTAAAAAAATTACATACACATCTACAAATTTTGAAATAAAGATGTTTTTATTTAAGACATCTTTTATTCTCTTTAAAGTCATGTGGAATATGGATGATGACAATGACATCGCTAACTCATGAATCATTGTTTTTCTCTTGGAAGAAAATGGAGTCAAAAATATCCTGGATATTCCATTGCCAAGTATAACACGGACTAAGTTCTTAACAAACTCGAGCTGTTTAACAAATTCAAGTTTATTAAAAGAATAATAGACTAGATCTTGAAACTCTTCAATCTACTCCAGGGTTTTTTGTTTAACGCATGTTGTTGCAGCCATTCTTTTGCCATACGCGTACCCATGATTAACTAACCCATCCTAGTATGGCTTTGGCATCATTGCTAGATTTTGATTCTCGCATAGAGATGCAATGTGATGCTCAAGCGTTTGGGACTCAACATACTCTTTCAGGCCAAAAAATTATGCGACAACTTGCATCTCAATCTTGCCACTGCTTATGCAATTGCGGCGAACACAATGCACTTTCTTTTCATCTTGTGTTGTTGTTCAAAGCCACTTGATCATGCTGATCCGGTATACACCTTGATTAGATTAAAAGCAAGATGGGAATATTTGGACCAACATTGATGATAAACATAGCTGGGTTGATATTACTTATATGATGCCATGCTCATTATAAATTGTTTTTCAATGACATAAAACTCCATAAATTTGACTTTCAACCTTTCAAACAATTGTTCATTCTCTTCTGAAGAGTCATGACAGCTAGTCAAAAAGCATGGCATTGATCAATAAATGAACTTTTGTTGAACTCGAGCATTTGATCACCATGTACATGCGCAACATTCATTCAAATTTCATGATAAAAGTGGTTGCAATAGAAAGCGAACGCGTGAATAGACAAATAGATTGGATCCCATCAATAACAAAGTTGAATTTGCATCTTTTCAAACTCGGACCTGATAATACAATAGGGAGATGGAGTAAGATGAATACAAAAATTGTATAGATAACAGTTATCGTCGATGAATCACTTTTGATAATGCCGATGCACATGCAGATAGAATCAAACACGTTGATTGCAGAATTGACATCGCATTCCAAGCTATTTTTGTTGATAATGTCAATAAGTCTATACAAAGGTTCAAAATAAACATCAATATCTTGCTCTTTACGCTCCCCGTAAATCAAATTTGACATTTGAGTGTATTGAGATAAACGAACATATAGTTCACAATTGATCAACGAAAAGTTGAATAAAAAAATTTTGAGTACTATTTGTCAAATAAAGAATCATTGAACACTATTTGCCAAACATCTCCTTGCAGAATAAAGTAAAAATATTATATTGGATAGATTTTGGTTCTTGATGCAGTCTAATACGATTATGATCATCTTGATAACTTATTTGAAATTTGGCAACTTGATCAAATTTTTGCAAAAGTTATTTAATGTATAAACTCCACGTCCATATGCATAGTCGATGTGACGGTTGTACATCAGTTGATTACAAAAATCTTACATCGCATTGCAATTATAAGAAATAAAAGCTTCCGCAATATACTTTTCAACAAATACAACAATACGATCGAACACCGATCTGACCTTCATACAAATCTCAATGACGGACTACCTCTTGAGGTTTGTTCTCATATATTACACAAATCATTAACATGATTGATGATGCAATGATGTTATACATATTCTAAGTCAACATCCATGATAATTATGACTATTGTGGCAAAAAGCAGTTCTCTTGCACATATAACTCTGTTGTTGTGAGTTACACTTTTAAAGTAATTAATTTTTTAGCACATCGAATCACACGATGCTATGATATTGTTGGGAGATAACTCCTTGAATAAATCATGTCAAACTCAAAGACCAACATATGGAAGTTCGTAGAGTTTTGATGCATTGCAAAGGCGAACATAGTATTGAGAATTTGCTTTTCATCTTAATTGAATCCATGTAATATTTTCTCGTCAATCCAATCAGCAGTAGATGAGCTCTATCTCAAAATTAATTTTGAATGTGTCATGCTCTAAGCAACTAGTATTCAAATCATTCACTCAAATTGTTCTTCAGATTTAAAATTTATTGATGATGAAATTGTGAAAATATGAATGTTTGTTGTTAACATCTGCAATAAAACAAGTGAAGCAAGTTGTACTATAATACTAATACTAAACGGAGCACATATAGTGGACACAATTGGTGAGATGAGTTTTCATATTTGACAAAGTTGTAGAGATGTAAGATTTACAATGTTTACATTCCCCCTAACAACCTTAAACTTTGTAATCAATCAAAAATTCGACAAAGCGATCCCAATGAGATAATTTCTTGTGAGTTGTTGAGCCATCCATTATTCGATCACGATGATGCTTTTTCCAAATGACTCGAATGAGGTGCATTTGTGAATTCTACGCTAATATTGGATTGTTTAGCACTTCAAGTCCCACTCTCGCCCACGCAGTCTACGAATTAAAATAAGCTTTGTGCTTGTATGTGCTTAAAGCTGAAGGTTGCGATTGAAATTAAGTTGTGCCACACATTGTGTTGTAATTTTCGAACCTGAAATTGATACACTCTGCCTTATCGACGTGCATGCAATGTTATTGCTGCACACCATCATTTGCGAGAGTCAAGCCTTGCATTTTAGATGTGAACGACGGAATCAATGCTCCCAATCTTCTAAATTCTACACGATTGCGCCATACTAAACATCTTAAAAATATATATATAAGACTTCTTAAATATATGACATCTTAAATACATATGTTAGATAATGTTAGATATCAATGTGATGCTTCATCCATATAAGCATCACATTGACACCTAGTTATATTACAAATTGTGCATATACAACAAATTTAAAGATATCAACTTTTATCTTATTTAGTTTTACCAAAATGTGTCATTCCTATTTTATGTAACCAAACAAAATATCACTAACATATTTTGAATCACTACTTTAATTATCTATCACAAGGTTTTTGGATTTGAATTTCAAAAAAATAAACTTTATGTTTGCAATTGAAACAGCTGAAAAATAAAATTTGTTCTAATGATACTTCCTGCTGTGGTTGACCATGTTGCTCGTGAAAATTGCACTTATTTATCAAGTATGGAGCAACATCATTTTCTTTGCAAAAACGGTTTTTATTTAAATTTAATGAAATCTTGATAGTAATTTTTAATGAATCTGAACCTTTAAATAATTTACACTTCTCATCGTGAGAAGATCATTAAATCTCAATTTAATGATAAAATAAAATATAAACTCAAATAAATTCAAAAGATAGTTGATTCATAAAGCATTGTTTCTTATAATTATAATCTATCACTTGAATCTTTAACTACGAAGTACCTTTAGCATAAAATTGATAAAAGGAAATTTATTGCAATTCATGAGTATTGTTTATTTCTATTATTTTCTAGAAGTAGAGTAACATTTTTTGATATTTATATTAGAAATAAATTAATATTAGATTATTCAGAAGACATGTTTTTTCAGAATAATAAACTCATATTCAATTCTATTTTTTTAAAAAAATTATATTAAATTATTATATTAAACTGATCTATAAAGTAATATTGAGATGATTTTTTCAATGATAATATATATTATAATTAAAAAAATTCTTTGTGCAAGTCAAATAAAATCTTTCTTTTCACATTTTGATTTTTTGGCTGTTAAATTTTTAATTTTTTAGAAAATTGTTTCGTGTCTAACATTTTAATTGAAAAAAAAAATTCAAAATATTTGATTAAGATCTGTAACTCTTATACTATAAGCAAAAAGTCATAAAAAAATATTCTTACATCAAATGTAGACAGTATGTAAGAAAATTCATAAATATAATTTC